TCATATTTTTCTACATTTTAATTTATCTGTATTTTTACTCAATTATTTTTATCAATATTATATTTGAATTTCACGCCAATTTTGGGGCAAATTTCTTATTGGTTCTTTCCGTATTCAGCCGCCATTATGCGCAATGATACACCTGATATATTTACATCATGGTCTCGCCATAGTGTCTCCTGCTTGTGGAATNTTGCTTATATTAGCTGGTGGCGTTCGCGCCAAGGACATTTCCTCCTCTGACGTTGTATCCGCTTGCGCTGACTCTTGCGTGTCAGCTGATGCTTCAGATCCAATTGTTTGTGGGTTCCTAGCTACGTTTCGTTTTCTTGTTTGATGCCTTGTATCAGCGGGCATAACTCCCACTTGGCCCCTCCGGTTCTTTTGAACGTTGGACCAGTGCGCTTTCGATCTCGCTTNCAACGCGTCCTTTTATGGTTACTTGACTACTATTCACCGTAAGGATCAACTATCATGTCCCCTCAACAAAATTTATTTTTATTTCTGTATATATATATATATATCTATATATATCTATTGGTTTTTTTTCTATACATATATATATATATTTTTTTTTTTAACCGTTTATTGTGATCCTACAGCATCAATATATGCCAGACGAATTGATATTCCTTTGCTATTTGCGTTTGTTTGTAAACCCGGCTTTAGATCACCATACAACCTTAAGCTCAAATCACAACACCCGTGGCCCTAGACTTTGAATACCCCGGACTGTGTACTCTCTTTAACCCTTTATTCCTAAGACTCAGTTNGCAATCCGGATCAGTTTAAACCCTCGCGATTTCCCTACGAATCCTTGTGATGCTGGCGCCCTCTTCCTTTTCAGAGACAGACTAGCCAACAGATCCGCTTGATAACCGCCGTCTATTTCATCTGTTTATCACTATCCGTGATTACCTTTCGGTCTGTATTTACGGGTTAATAACATATCCTTGTTTATTTGTTTATTTTATAAAAAAAAACTTAATATCTAAATACTCTTTTAATCACCGTTTTCTTTGAAACTTTAGTATTTGTTTATTGTTTTTTTTTCTCTATAAACTCTTTAATTGAGTCTCGGAGTCTAATATTGACTAATAAACAAAAACCTTTTTAATTTTAAATTGTTATGTTTGGCTTAAACACTTTCCTTTTGTCACCAGACTACTATACCGCTTTAAATTTTCGTTAATTTTCTACTTTATTTTTTAATTATTTAAACAATTT